CACAACTGCTTGGGGGGATACTGTTTGGAAGAGGTTTTTCTTTCATGGTTTCTTTCTCTTTGAGAAATATTTTAAAAAATTAGTGAAAAAGGCAACATTATTTTTAGTTTGTTGAGACCCTCAACTGTGTCATCCCCCAGATTCATCATGAAAAGTATCTAAAGACATGTTTCAAAGTAGTGCCCACATATACCATACTTGTTGAACAAATTCAGATTTATTGAAAGTAAACATTTACATTAGCTACAATGTGAACTATTACAAAGCTGAATAAAAGAGGCTTAAGTAGCAATAGAAAGCAAGTGTGATAAAAAGTGAATAGAGAAAATATTTGGCCTTAGTGATCTCTTGGCAGTATTTACATTATGTACACATTGTTAAATATTTGTAATAACTCTAAGGCACCAAAGGCTAAATAGCAGGTTGCAATACTATTTTGTTCACAAAGGTCAATAAATTTATTGTAAAGAAGGCTGTATAGTGAGAGAGAAAAAAACAAACAAACAAACGCTTATCTTAATGTTTACATATAAAGGAATGGGTGCATTTAAGAAAATCTCAAATGGTACATTAAATATTGTGTGGATTAAAGAAAGTTTTAGAACATTAAATTATGCTTGCTATATAGATAAGCACTTTTTTTTTTAACTGACTTGCTGGTAAATGTGTAAAGTAATCTATTCATCAACATAGTTTTTTCACACTCTGGATATGTTTTGTCTAAAAACTACTTGAAATTCTTTTAACCTACAAAAACTTATCCTAATATATCATAGAGTATTAAAAAATCCACACTCCAAATTTAGTGGGTAATACATGAAATGTATATATAATCTGACAAAAATTTAGCAGGCATTAAATGCCAAAATACTGGAATATTTAGTCTGCTATTTTGGCATAGCAGTTGAGTATTTGAGTCCTCTGCTTATGGCTGGCAACTGTTTGTGGCTTTAGGTGAACAGACATAAAATTGATGCATGTAGAAAACCAATTATTAAAAAGAACAGAGTATTTTCAAATTTTGCAGCTTAAGACTTGCTCAAATAACTCCTTGGATGTTAACTCTATTCAGCTCCCAGTATCAGCTGGCTCCATATCCAGGGATTCAACCAAGCACACATTGAAAATATTTAAAGGGAGAAAAAAAACAAATTGAGTGGTCAAAGCAATCCCTCAAAGGCATTTACAATGTATTAAGTTCTGTAAACAATTTAGAGCTGAGTTAAAACATAAGGGAGGATGTGTGTAGGTTATATGCAAATACTATGTCATTTTATATAAACGGCTTGCATCCATTCACTTTTTTATCTGGAATCAATTTCCCGCAGATACCAAGGGACAACTGTGTGTCATTTACCACCAGTGTCTGGAATATCCATGTCATGCACAGTCAATAGATAACCAATATCTGTGCCAGGCATGGTCTAGAGACTTTTGATTTGGTAACTTTCATCTGTAAAATGTTATTTGTTCCTTACACTAGAAACCCAATTTACTTAATAGTATATCATTTGCTATGAGGTAGTGTTAGAACAAAGAATTCAGCAGAACAATAGAATAACATCATAATGTTCTTAAAATGTGCTTCAAATGCAACCATGAAATCCCTATTGATTTAGAGGTAAATGGTCCAATATTTGGTGACCCTTTATGACATACTAAATTATCATCTGACGAAACTACACAGACTCTAACAAAGATGGTGAGTTTTCCATTAAAACTGTCTGAAATCCCATGCCCTATGGCAAGTTATGATAAAATGTTGTCAGGGATATTAATTTAAAGGTTTACAGATTTGGATATACAAACTTTTCTTTCTTTTAGCAAAGGTGAGAAAAATCAAGGAATTTCTTCTCTAAACTCATTTTTTTTTTTTTAATGAGAAACATCCATATCTTTAACAATAATTTTGATCCATGTCTTACAGTACAGTGTATTTGGAAGTAAAAACAAGGATGTGGTACAGTGTCGGCATTTTACATTTAAAAGCCTCTTTTAAATCCAAAATTTGACTGAGACTATTTCAGATAATGTATCTAAAATGTCTTACTATAATGCATTCTATAGCATTATTACTTTTTTCTCTTCTTAAATGTTCAACCACATTCCTCCTTTCACAATGAAAGAGGACAAATTATTTTTAGTAAAATGCTTACAAAATCAGTAATGTAGGAAGAAGTCAGATTAATTGGAGCTCTTCTCCCTACTTAAAGGATGAAAATAAATAATTGCCTTTGCTTATGTTAATAGGGCTACATAATTAATTTATCTATTAAAAAGCATCAATGAACAGAATGCAATTGATTATAAAACTACAATACAATATCAACTGTTTGGAATCACTGAATAAATCAATAGATAATATTTTATTGGGGAAACTGAATCAAGGCATAATATTAGCATTTAAATTTCTAAATTCTAAGTACCTGCTTAGATTTTGGAACTACAGTGTCAGTGTTACTAATGGTATGAATTGAAATTAGATTCTTTAGAAATAAATATATGTGTCTACATTTGTACACTATAGTATTACCAATTTCAAGCAACTCAATTAAAAGGCTCTCCTTTTTACATTTAATTTTGGGAAATAAACTTAAGATCTGCATTTTGCACTGTAATCACTCAATTATCATGAGAAGACATCTAACTTTAGCATCTTAATAGATGTCTATTGCTCCATAAAACTTGTAGTTGTTGTTGTTGTTAAGTGCCTTCAAGTCGGTTCCAACCCATGGGGACCCTGCATAGGGTTTCCAAGGAGCAGCTGGTGAGCTTGAACCACTGAGCTTGAAGTTCAAACGGCTTCCCAGTCTGGCACATTAGCTCACAGCCCCACACAAGGACAACTACTTTCCTTTCACTGACAGGTGAATCTACTTTTATTCTTAAATTGGCAATGCAGGTTTATGTTATGCCAGTTTTTTTCTGTCCTAACTAATCCCTCTTGAGTTCTACAAGTTACCGTGATAGTTCAGATTCTAATGCTATATGCCTTACAAATTACTAGACTGTTAAGTAAAGCCTTAATGTATAAGGTCAATGGTTTTTAAACTATGCTTGGAGGCACTTTAGACAGGGCGCCTCAATGGTCCTGGTAGCCAAACAAATGGGATTCTAAGATTCCATGCTTCACAATCCTGCTATTGAATCTTTATATTCATGTCATTTATAAGCTATCCCACAAAATATTAATTTGAAAAAACAAAAAAATCAGTTGCTTGAAAATGTTTTAAAACACAAAGTAATTTGGGGGACTCGGGAAGTCTTGACAAGGGGAAGAAAGGAGCCCTCTTTTCTATTATATCCTCTCCAAATTCCTGGCTACAGAGCACAAAAGAAGATACTACTACCTTGTCCTTATGATGCTAATATTGTCTTTCTGTCTGTCTTGCATTCAGAGGCACAAATCAAAACAAATCATGGTTTTAAGTGGACACTGTCAAAATGACCTTGCCAATTCAAGCCTACTTATCCCCTCAGGAATATGAGTGGCATACCAATTATTTACAATAAAAGAAAAATAAATGAATAGTAAATATTTCTTGAATTGCAACCCTTAACAATGTGCATGACCTTTTCCCTCACCTTTTATACCAAAGGAAATAAACACAGAAGTTATCACATTATACTTTCAAGTGTCTATATATTTTTATTATTATTATTTTTCTTTCTAAATAAATTACAATCAGATATGAGCCTTGATTCAGGGTTTCAATAAAGTGGTCCACTCACTAATTAAATTGCTTTCATGAATGGCCTTATCCTAAAGACATACAGGAAAAGAAACATTGTCAATTAAAACTTGAAATCAATGCGAACTCTAGGACCCAAAGAAACAGAAATGATTCTGAGGAACACATGACTGTTGAAGGCTAAATGCTGAGAGCTGGTGTTGTTATCTCTATAAACTTATTTGTATTCTTTTAATATAAAAGAAGCTTCAAAGTTTGTCTTCTTTCTCAATATGAAAAAAATTAAGAGAGGTATTAAATGAAAAACTATAAAAATGCTGGTGTGGTATAAATAAATTAAAACAAAATTTCCACTGTAGGAAATTTAAAAAATATACATCGTTTGTTTAAATTCTGAGGCCTTTCTTTTAAACATATGATCAATTCAATATAAATTTAGTTCATCAGGGGCATATTCATGTTCCCCAAGCTATGATTTTTAGATAACCTTTTAAAAGAACTGAATTTAAACTATTGCAATATTTCTTAAAACAAACAGAAAAATCATTTGCAAATATTCCAGTGAATGAAATGTGATAAATTTGGCTCATATCTTGGCTTATGTCCAGAGTTACTGCTTACTGATTATCTGCTTTTCAAAAAATGAGGATAGACTTGTGGTCCATCTGCACCATCTCTGTTGTTCAAATTATATATGTGTATGCATACACATACATATATACACAAATGCACACTTTGATGCATGAATCTAGACGTATGTAGATTACATACTTTTGGGCAAAGCACTGTTTCTAAGACTTAGCTCTTTTGGTATAAAGAAAAATACAGTATAACAGGAAACATCACTCCCAAAACATTCGAATGTTCATGCCACTATTAATATCGCACATCAGAATGTGCAAACATTATACTTATTGCAAAGTATTTTATAGATTTAGACGCCATTATAAAATGTTCTCAATTCTATTTCGGTAACCTAAAATGTCGGTATATGATACCAAATGTCCAATTAAATAGTTTAATATAAAAATATCAGCACAAAACTGTTTTTTAAATCTGTTTATTGTGAGCAACCCAAACTTCAGTTTAAGTGCTGTCTTAATTTTAGTACTAGATCCCATAACCCTACAACTTTTATACCATTTTAGGTATTTAATGAGATATTTAGAAATACTAAGAAAAAAATCAGTATTCAAAGGGTTAATTTGTTTATAATAACAATAAATTATTTTATAATCTTCTTCAGTTCAAAATCCAGCTTTGAACCCGAGGAAGGCTTTTGAATCATGTTAATTAAAGGGTGATCCTTTAACCAGTAGCAGTTTGATTACCAATAACTCGGAGGATCTCTTTGTGAATGCCTCCTTCTTGTGTGTTAATATTGGCATCTCCCACTTGGCCATCTTCATAGCTAAAACACAAAACACAGAATCATAAAAACAGTCATAAAAATAACATCATTTAAAACAACTTAGAAATACCATTTGATATCTAAATGATCACCTAAAGAAAATAAAAATGCAGTTAGATTTCAGCTGTATTTAATAATGTGTACAAATTACTAAACACACATAAAAAACCCTCATTATTCAAGTTCATATCTTAATTTGCCCATTACTTCTCTCTAAATTTGAACTTTTTTTTAAATCTACAAACAAAGCATCATCTAAGCTGAAGGAAACACTCCAGGGCTTTTTTCTAGCAAGAATTTCCTATTGGCAGTTGTTAGGAAGCAAACTGAATTAATGCACCAACTTCAACATTTTGATTCTTAGGTAACGAACCTCTTAGGTCCACCTTCTACACCAATCATTTATTATTTTCTGATTGTTGACAGTCTTATAAATCACTTCACTTTCTACCACTTGGCATGCTTGCCTTCTAATTATTTTCTGTTGTGATCAGTGCTGCATTTTTTTATAACGCTACTGGCTCTAGTTAGTCTGATTATACACATACAAAGGAGTCCTGGTGTCACAGTGGTTACAGCACTGCTAACCCAAAGACTGGTGGTTCAAAGTCACCAGCAGCTTATATGAGAAAGACGAAGCTGTCTGCTTGGAATTACAGCCTTGGAAACTCTATGAGACGGTTTTACTCTGTCCTACACGGCCACTATAAGTCAGAATTGGTTCAAACGGCAATGGTTACAACACATATTTATTCATGATGGCAATTCACATATGACTTCACATGTTGGCTAATGTTAGCTACACAATAGAAATGAAAATATAATTTTAAAGGACAGCAATTACTAAGTCTTTTAGAAAAAAAATTACATTTCAGATAATAATTCATTTCCTTAAACTAACTTACTTACTTGGGCAGTAAAAATTTACCAAGAATGCATTTTTTAACTTTCATGATAATATTCAAAGTGGAATAGGTGATGAGTTAATTTTATTTCATACAAAAATGGCTTAGAGACTGAAGCCTTCAAGAACAGGTAATGAGTTGAAAATAGATAAACAGGGTAAAAGTAGTATCTCAAAGATTAATGCATACTACTGCCCTTTCTCATCACACTTAGATTCTCTAGAACACTCTCAGCATTTCTCAAGCTGAGGGAGCTGAAGAAAAAATTCAAGTTTTGACTTGAAATACAAATGGATTCAATGGACAAAATATTGAATGATACAGAGAGCATTAAAAGAAGATGATAGGAATACATAGAGTCACTGTACCAAAATGAAATGTGTGATGTTCAACCATTTCAAGAAGTCACATATGATCAAGAACTGATGCTACTGAACAAAGATATTCAAGGTGCACTGAAGGCAGTGGCAAGAAAAGCAGGTTCCAGGTACTGACGGAATACAAATTCAAAATTTTCAACAAACTGATGAATCACTCAAGATTCTCATTCATTTATGCCAAGAAACTTGGAAGAAAACTATCTGGACAACCAATTGGAAGAGGTCCATATTTATGTCTATTCCAAAGAAAGGTGACCCAAGAGAATGTGGAAATCATTAAATTGCATCATTAAATAAAATTTTCCTGAAAAAATTTTAAAATGGTTGTAAAAAAAAAAATAAATGGTTGCAATAGTACACTGACAGTGAACAGCTAGAAATTCAAGTTAGAGTCAGAATAGGGATACCACTGCTGATGTTGATGGATTTCGGCTAAAATCAGAGGATACCTAAAAGATGTCTACTTGTGCTTTATTAACTATGCAAAGATATTCAGTTGTGGAGACAATTACAAGGTATGGATAACATTGTGAAGAATGGGTATTCCAGACCACTTAATTGTGCGCATGAGTAACAGGCATATAGACAAAGACACAGACATTAGAACAGAACAAGAGGATATTGAATAGTTTAAAATCAGCAAAGGTGTGCACCAGGGTTGTATGCTTGAACCACATTTATTCAGTCTGTAGGCTGACCAAATAAATTGAGAAGCTGGTGTATGAAGATGAACGTGGCATCAGGATTTGAGGAAGACTCATTAACAATCAGCTATGTGCAGAAGATAAGGAGCTATGGTAGTGTAGTGGTTACAAGTTGGGCTGCTAATCTCATAGTCAGCAGTTCAAAACTACCAGCTGTTCCATGGGAGAAAGACAAGGCTTTCTGTTCCCATAAATATTTACAGCCTCAGAAACCCTATACAGGGTCGTTATGAATCAGAACCAACTCCACGGCACATAATCACTACCACCATATGCAAAAGATACAACCTTGCTTGTTGGAAATGAAGAGTATTTAAAATACTTTCTGAGGAAAATAAAAAACTACAGCCTTCAGTATGGATTGAACCACAATGTAAAGAAAACAAAAATCCTCACAAGTGGACCACTAAATACCATCATGATAAATGGAGAAAAGATTGAAGTTATAAAAAGCTTCATTTTGCTTGGTTCCACAATCAATACTCATGGAGCAATAAGGAAATAAAACACCATATTACATTAGGCAAATCTGCTGCAAAAACCTCTTTGAAGTATTCAAGAGTAAAGAGATCACTTTGAAAACCAAGGTACCCTTGACCCAAGCTTTGGTACTTTTAATTGTGTCATATGCATGTGAAAGTTGGGCAAAGAATAAGGAAGACCACAGAAGAATCGATGCATTTGCCTTATGGTGTTGTAGAAGAATATTAAAAGTACCATGGACTGCCTGAAGAACAAACAGATCTGTCCTGAAACAAGTGCAGCCAGAAGGCACCCTAAGAACCTGGAGGGTCAGATTGCATCTCTCATACTTTGGACATATTATCAGGAGGGACCAGTCCCTGGAGAAGGACACCATGCTTGATAAAATGGGGGGGGGGGGAACAGTGAAAAAGAGGACGGCCCCCAAGAAGATGAACTGACACACTGGCAGCAGTGGGCTCACACATAACAATTCTGATGATGGTGCAAGGTCAGGCAGTGTTTCATTCTGTTGTGCACAAGCTCACAATGAGCTGGGGCAGACTCAATCACACCTAACAACAGCAAAAAGTATTAAAGTGTAATTGCACTATATGTCATACATACACAGAGTGTGTAAGACTCAGCAGGAAATGCAGGGTAAATACAGAAGTTTACAACCCCGGGAAGAGTACCATAAGTGAACAAAAAAAAATTTTAAATTAAGTTCTGCAACACTAGGAAGAGAGCTTAATTTTGATTAGGAGTTTCATTGTTATTGCTAAGTGCCTTGGAGTTGGTTCTGAAACATAATGATCCTATAGTTTGTAGTCCAGTGCTTATTCTACAGCTCCACAAGAGGGGTCTCATGGAAGGGGTGGTATGTGAACTAGACCTTGAAAGATGCAATAGATTTGGGTAGCAATTCCTGGTAATTATTTACCACTGTGAATTGTTTGAATCAGGAACTTGACATAATACTGGGTCCTATTTTCTGCAGACGATCTATTTTACTTGGGTTTTCCACTTCTGGAAATTTCAGAATTTCCTGAAATGTTGTGAAAAATAAAAGAGCACATATTTATTCAATAAATATGCAACTGTTAATTTGCAGATTTTGTTGTTGTTGTTAAGTGCCGTCGAGTTGATTCCGACCCATAGTGACCCTGCATAGAGTTTCCAAGGAGCAGCTGGTGAGCTTGAACCACTGACATTGCAGTTCAAACGACTTTGCAGTCTGAACGCATTAGCCCACAGCGATGCCCACTTTAAATCAAGGAAGCATTAAAGGATTCAAATGTAAATTTTTATGTGAGATAAGCAAGAGGAGCAACTCTAACAGTTCTTATCCTTTTCTTAGGCCCTGAGCAGCTGAAGGAGAGGCTACAGTCCCATCTCTAAGTTGTCTAGTAGAGCAATGATGAGACTCTGGGGCAGCCCAGGACATTAGATACACCTGTAATGTCAGCTAAGTTTTGCCACATCATCAATTAACCTTCTCTTGGATTTCATTATTTTATCTTGCTTGTGAAAAATACCAATAGTGAGTGTTTATCTCCTGCTCTAAAATCAGTCGTTCAACATGCAGTAAACATTTCATGGTGGAAGGCTGCAGCACAATATGTATGGTTGCTTTCCACATCCACTTGTGTAAGGCCAGCATCTGGCCATTTTTAAAATAGTGGCCTTAAAGCCCTTGCACACTTGCATTAAGATTAGTAATGAAATCAAACATTGCCAGCAAATTTTAGACATGAGAAAACAGCTAGAACCTGTTCATAACATCTGAATTATTACATTTTGCCCGGAGCATTTTTTAAAATTAAGTTTACTCAATTTGGAATTCCCCAACAAAATGCTTTCAAATGTCCCATTTTCTCCCTCGTCTCTCCCTGTCCACCCCCTCAAGTAATATCTCCCTTTCAATTTTAATTAAAAATTTTTTCTTATGTAGTAATCTGGTCCCTAAAGTTTCCTTAAAATTTTCTCTCATTCTGTATTGTTTTTTGGGGGAAGAAACAATGTGATTAGTATACTAAATGACTGTTTTATTATCTCTATTATTATCTTCCTTCTGGGAATCTAAGCAAGAAAGCTATTTGAATTTTTAATATTAATTCTAATAGCATATAAAAAATGAAGTCACACTACTGTATATTCTAGTCATTAAACCAAGATTCTTCCATTAAGGATCATATAACATAAAATAAATGAAAATTAAAAGAAGGATAAAATAGCGTGAACTTTCCATCTGATGAGTATTTATTTGTGAACAACTCAGTACACTCTCCACCATTAATATTTCCTACATGCTGCCACTCATGAGGGAGACATCACTAGTAGAACTTTGTGATTATATCTTGTATATACAAGAAAGTGATGGTTGTAATTAGTATGTACCATAATTAGTGAATAGATTCTACTTTTGATCTGTTTTTAATCTTAATCAATTTTCCTTTATCAGCCTCCTCTCTCCTGAGGGTGCAGAGAAAAAGGATTAGATCTTATTTGTGTCTATAAAGCAATGAAACATTAATAGATTTTTTTCCCTTTATATTACTTGGAGGGTACCTGACTATACTGAAATTATTTTCTTCTATTTCCTTCTGATGATCCTTCCTCAATTTTTTCTTAAGAAAGGCAGACCGTCTTCTCAGAAATAAATATACACATACATGTATCTCCACAAATTTACTTTCTGTAAGGAGCTCTGGTAGCGTAGTGGTTATGAATTGGGCTGCGAACCTTAATGTCAGTGGTTCGAAACTACCAGCCGCTCCGCAGGAGAAAGATGAGGCTTTCTACTCCCGTAAAGATTTACACCCTCGGAAACCCTGTACAGGGTCACTATGGGTCAGAACCGACTCGATGGCACTTAACAACAACAACAACATACTTTATATAAAATTTCCAAGGATGTATCCTAGAAATAGCAATTGCTTTCTTAGGTATCTAAGGTTGCTTATTTAATTCAATAAATGTGATTTAAACAAGAAGTCAAAAATGATAGATTAATTTAATTAAATGACAGGCTTAGAAAGAATCCTCGAGTTAGTTTTCTGTCAAAATTCCAAGGTCCCTCAATAAAATGATTTTGTGACTAGAGATTTCTTTGAAAGGGTGAATTTCTATCAGTGGGTAACAGTCAAGATGATGAAGAAAGAAGGAAAGAAACTATTTAAAGAGTGCCTTTCAACAGAGAACTGCATTCTGCTAGATTAATAATTGAACTGTACTTTATAAACAATACTATGCCAGACAGCTTCCTTTGGAACCAAATCTACATGGCACCCTTCTCTACCTAGCATCTGATGCAATGTGTACCAGTGTACATAAATATGCTCCCTTACCTTCCAGCATTTGGTAGGATTTGGATGGTTGGAAGTAGTTAAGGTGTTCATTCTCTTAGCTTCATCTCTCCAAGAGCGCCCTGGGCTGCCTCCATCCCTCAAATGAAGGCAATGAGGTTGAACTAAAAAGTACTCCCTAACCATAACTGACTCTCTGACTCTCAAACTGCTTCTTCCCCTTATCCTTTTGTGCCTATGGATGTAAGAACTCTGGGGCATTCACTTCCAGGTTACTATGCTAGACCTGCAGCTCTGCCATACACATAACATTTACATAATCTAAAAGTAGATGGCAGAAATGATCATATTTAGCATGAGTCATTTGTGTCCTGTTGAGATTATATAACTCAGCTAATGTCACCTTACACTAACTGGTGGGCCAGAATTCCAAGTGTCTGACTCAACAGTGTGGTTTTTTCCACTATACTTATTATTCACCCTCCATTAGGAAAGAAAAGTATAGCCAATAAGCATGTATCACACACAAAAAAATCCACAGCTTTCATACCATCCAAAGGAAAACCAGACAGCTCATAGAATTTGTATTGTGCATAATTTGCCAATCAGCTAATGGATCGAATGCTGAAGTCAAAAGTTATATGAATGCATGACAAGGCTTAACAAAGTCGCTTAATTTTCAGCTTCTTTTGGGAAAACTACATAAAATACAAAGCAGAGATCTTCACCTCTTCTCTGGAGTTTCATTCGTACAAGGTCAACCGAAAATCTCTGGGGGTTCGCCTGGGGTGAAAATCTGAGAGGCCTATTACATCAATCATTTATGAATAAAAAATAATGCTCTTATATGTTAATGCAGGTCTTATAATATGGCAGTGCTCCCAAATCCACATGAATATGTTCTGCCTTACCAACCTGTATTACTTGAAATGTATACATTTCATAGACATTTCAACCTGTATTACTTGAAATGTATACATTTCTAATTGTGATTTTTATTCTTAGCTCTAACATTTTTAAAATTCTATTTTTAAAGTGCATGTATATGGATATTTATATATACACATACACATCACTTTCTGCATATATGTAGATATATGAGGGCAAGTAAAAAATATTGCTACAAAATCACATAAATCTTTCTTAGACAAAAATATCAAAATGTGAAACTATGGTTTTTCAACACATCTTCTATCTAGGCCTGGGATCCTGGTGTACTGCTGGAGGATGAATTGTGGACAGCTAACAGCAAGGCTGGTGGTTCAACCTAAGGAAATGTTACACAGGATCACTATAAGTCGGAAGTGACAAGACAACACTTAACAACAAGGTCTATACACATCTGAATGTGGTGTTTCCATCTTTCAAACCCTTCCCCCCAAATTCTGTCCTCTTCTATTTACACCACATTAACATGGCACTTTTGGCATCATGGAGGGACCCTTTTAAATGTGCAAGCTTGAGGAATAAAAAGTAGTCTGAAGGGACAAGATCAAGGATGGCTGTAGAATGGATGGAGTAAGGTTTCCCAAGGAAATTTCTTGCACAGTCCTTGTTTTCTTTGCAAAACGAGCAGGTTTGCTGTCATGGTGAAAAAGAATTCCTTGGAGCAACTGTCCTGGATTTTTCTCACAAACACAGATTTTAAATTTTCTAAAATCTTCTTCTTAGTAAGCCCCCATAATCGTCCAATGTCCTTCAATCAAATCTATCAAGATTAGATCCTGGGAATAAAAACAACAACAACAACAAAAAAAACAAAAAACAAAACCAAAAACCCCCAGTTATCATAGCCTTCTGAACTGACCTCTCTGCCTTGAGTTTAAGTGGCTCAACAGATCACTTCGTAAGTCACTGTATTAACTGAACCTTTTTTCTTGAAGGCACCCTAAAGAGACTAAGACAAGTGCATTACTGAGACAATCGTCTGCAGCCATTCACTGATTGCAGACATACGTTTAAACGTATTTTGTTTGGAATAAATCTGTGCAGGCACCCTAAGAGACTAAGACAAGTGTATTACTGAGGCAACCTGTCTGCAGCCATTCACTGATTGCAGACACACGTTTAACTGTATTTTGTTTGGAATAAATCTGTGCATGTATAAAATAGCAGCAATATTTTTTTACTCACGCTCATATATATGTTCACACATGTATGTGCAAAGAGCTACACAACACACTCCAAAAATGATGACTAACCAAACAGAGAGATTTCTTTTTCAGTCCTAAATTAACAGCATTTAATCTTTTTTAATAATAGTTTTATGAAAACACTAAATTGATAACAAACGAAATTACCAGGATTTTATATTTTGACAGCTAATTGTTCTTGTTGCTAAAGTAACCAAATAATAACATAGTCAATATTACTTCACTTATGGAGAAGGTAGTAACATACTAATTTGAGCATTGGCACTTACACAAAAAAGAATCGTGTGCAGACATGATCAGTATTTGGAACGACCCATATCTCTCCATGTTTGTGCAGATCAGGTGAGGTGATCACTGTACAAGCAAGATAAAATTAAAGAACTATTTTATTCTGAAGAAAAGAAACCACAGCCCATCCAATGTACTCCCTTCTCTTTAGAAATCGAAAAGCAAAAAGCACATGCATAAATGGAGATATGACAAATGTTCAGCATTAGTAACAAGAAGCACAGATGAAAAAAATGAAAGACCATGTACCAGCTTAATGATTTGATACTGAGGAATATAACACTGAGAAGAAAGTGACTTGAGAACAATGTAGAGTGCAATTAAACATCTTCCATTAACTATCAAGGATTGAAGACTTACGGGATAGCTAAGAATGAACTCTTGACAAAATATACAGCGAATTTTTAGTCAAGTCAGATTCTAAAGCAAGAACAAAGAAACATGTATAATCTTGCAAATCAAATTTTCTGTTCTGAATTAATAATGGAAGAATAATCTCAGTGTAGAAACTGAAACATCTCTTGGATTATTTTCTTATTGCTTAGTACATCTTTCAAATTTTTCATGAGATCATAAGCTCCAACACCAATTTAATGAGGAAGGTGGCATATTAACCAGTGATAAAAGCATTACTTGATCAGAAAGATATAATTACTATTTTGAAATATCTGCCAAGAATAAAATCTAGCATTGCCTGAAGTCTTGCTGAGTTTGCTCTTTGGTTTTAACATTTATGATCTCTATTCTATCTGTTTTCCATTTGTACCCTTAGAGATGGTCATAAGGCCCAATGCTATTCCATTGTGAGCTCAATAAATATACACGAGTTCTTAAATACAGATATGATGGAGAATTAACAGCTTCCTAAAACTTTCTACTTACCTTCACATAAAGCTATGCATTTTAAGTTACGGCTCTGCAGGAATTGGGATTGCTGTCCTTTTTTCTGTGACTAAATTCCAAACAAAATTTTAAATTAGAATGAAATTTGGTACTCAAAAACTGATTAAAAAATCATTATGATGGTCTAGTTTTTTAAAAAAAATGAAGACTTGCAGCAATCAATAATAACATCCTTGAGCTCTTATAATGTTAAGTTATATGTTGTAGCATTTAATTTTTGTACATCATTATTATTAAATCACTCTCAAGGTGTGTGAAGTAAAATTAATGCTAAATACGAGTTCAATAGTCTCATAACATAAATTAGAACTCAAATTTATTTTGACTGGAAGTCTAGCATCTTTATTTGACGGCAAACAAAATTAAATTTTCATGATCTTTTCAAATATTAAAATCCATGATTCCAGATTATCCAACTCTCCAGAATGAACTCACTTTTATAGCATTATTTATTCAACCACAGAGATTCAGAAACATCTTACGTAGAAAACTTTTGCTGTGGACGGGGGTTAGGGAGGTGGTGGTGTGGGGAGGCAGGAGGGTGAGGAAGATACCAGATTTTTTTTAAGTTCATCAAATAGATTTTTTTATCTTTCTGGAGTATATTTGTTTTCTCTGAAACCACAAAAACGTTGTGCTTGCTCTTCTCTATGCCTGGGATATTCTTTCTCCCAGAGTCACATAGTTCATGCACTCACTACCTACTGTAATTACACTTTCCTTGACTATCTCATCTTCACCATCACCTCATGATATATTCTCCATCCCTTTTCCCTGATTTAATTTCCTCCACAATTTGTACTACCATATAGAATTAATTATCTATCTGTCCATCTAGAGTCCTGGTGTGCCACTGTGTGTTACTGCACTGGACTGAAAGGTCGCTTTGAACTGCAAACTTGGCAGTTCAAACTCACCAGCCGCTCCTCAAAATCCCTATCCATGGTTGTTCAGTCAGTACTGACTCAATGGCATTTAACAACATCTATGTATGTATGTATGTATGTATGCATGTATGTATGTATGTATGTATGTATCTATCTATCTATCTATCTATCTATCTATCTATCTATCTATCTATCTATCTATCTATCATCAATCTATTTAAGTTGTTTGCTCACTAGAATGTAAATTTCAAGTACACTCAAACTTTTGTCTATTTTTGATTTTTTTCTTATCTCCAATGCCTAGGAAAGTCTCTGGTATACAGTAATTGCTCAATAAGTCAATATTTAGTTAATAAAGGCAATGTGTTAATTATATGCTCAGGTGAAGTTTACTTCTCTGTTATGAGAAATGACCACTTGAAAAGCCTAAGCATTTACTGAAGTCCTGAAGTCTAATAAGGCTACAGCTCAGTAATCATGCACAGTCACTTGGGTGGCTACCACACCTGTGATGCATTGCTGTTTTTGCTGCTTGAAGCTGGCTCATCCTTGGCTGACACCTTCTGCTTCTTGTTCATCCCTGAAACAGCAAGATAACAATTAAGGAACTAAGTTGGACGGTACAGCTCAAAATATAATCTCTCACAATGCAATTTTAGACAAATATATGATTGCACGAGGCCAAAGGTGGTCACAATGGGCTCCTGAAGACAGAGCTGGGGTTGCAAGTCATGGGATTTGGAATTCTCAGTGGAGCTACAAGGCAGAAATCCCGAGTGGTTATTCTAAGCATTAAAAACAAAGGTAAGAAATTATTTTTCACTAAACTGATATATTTAGAAAATTCATAAAACTTGAATATAAAAGGCTTTTCATACTAATTTCTGTTGTCACCATTTGATTAATAGGAAGGGGAGATATGAACAATATCAGAAAAATTATTTACATTGAAAGTTAACTTCTTGAATGACTGCACTGATATACACTAAATTCAGCTCAGGATTTAAACAATTTCTTCTAATTAAGGGAAACAGTGGAAGTTTTTTTGCCCATGATAAAGTCATGTCTTTTCAGTTTACTCCGTTAACACCACAATTTCTTACTCTGGCAGCAGATTTTAGAAAAATAAAATTAAAATCCCTATCAGTTTTAGAATAAGATTTGTTATATCTTGGTGCAGCAGGATAAGGACTGGACTGCTAACCACAAGGTCGGTGTTCAAACCCAACAGGTGACTCCTGTGAAGCCCTAGACAGGATCACCGTGAAGCGGAAACAACTCAACAGTACTTAACAAGAGCAACTGCATATTTTATTCTAAAATGTTTCTCTACTATCATATCACACCGAAGTGGAGATGTGTTATTTTGCTGTTTCAATAAATGAGCTAATGACAATACAAATGTCTTAGATCTAATCCCTTCCACGTAAGGCATTCCTCATAAGGTGCAGAGGTAAGGATCAGTTTTCCCAACAGGTTAAGACAGTAAGTTTTTGGGGAAAGCACAGAGTATTGTGTGTACAGGAGTACCTGGGAGCTGTGAACAGAAAGACTGTCAATTTAAGAGTCTGCCCTAAGATGCCTGGGGATCTCTCCAACAGAAAAAACAACTATTGAAAATCCTACAGTGCAAAGTTCTACTCTGACACTCATGGGGTTACCACTTGTTGGAATTGAATGAAGGTTAACCTCGACTCTGTTCTCCAATCGCCAAACTCTCAGAACTCCAAACTAACTACAGAAGCTGCTTCATCTCAATACAGTGATTTTTAGATTTTCTCACATCAAGGAACTTCAAGGATTTGATTAAAGTTATGGACTCTATCCATGGAATGAATATTCACAGAATGCATACTCTCTGTTCTTTTCCATACCGTTTCTTGGGTCAGGAGCATCTTATTCCTCAAACTGACATCTTTGTTCTTCAGTGGTTTAAAGAGGTCTTGTGCAGCAGATTTGCCTAATGCAATATATCATTTGATTCCTTGCCGCTGCTTTGTGAGTGTTAATAGTTGATCCAAGAAGAATGAGGTCCTTGACAACTTTAATCTTTTCTCCATTGATAAGAATGTTTTTTATTGGTCCAGTGGTGAGGATTTTTGTTTTTCTTTACATTGAGATGCAATCCATACTGAAGGCTATGCTCTTTGGTCTTCATCAGTAAATATTTTAAGTTTTTTTCACTTGCAGCAAGCATGGTTGTATCTTATGCATATCAAATGTTGTTTGTGGGTCTTCCTCCAATCCTGATACTATGTTTTTTTTTATATGATCCAGCTTCTTGGATTATCTGCTCAGCATACAGACTGAATAAGTATGAGGAAGGAATACAACCCACGCATACACTTTCCATTTAGTGTTCCCTTGTTTTGTTTGAACAACTGCCTCTTGGTCTAGGTACAGGTTCATCATGAGCACAAGTAATTGTTCCTGAACACTCAACTTCGCAATACTGTCCACAGCTTGTCATGATCCACACAATCAAAAGCCTCTGGAGAGTCAAAAAAGCACAGGTAAACATCTTTCTGGTATTCTCTGCTTTCAGCCAAGAGCCATCTGACGTCAATAGCGATATCCCTTCTTTCGCATCTTCATCTGGATCTGGCTTGAATCTCTGTCAATGCAAGTTGGCAGTTGTGTTGAATTATTTTTAGTAAAATTTTACTTGCATGATATTGTCCAATGATTTCCACATTCCATTGTGTTACCTCTTTTTAGAATGGACACAAATATGGGTCTGTTTCAGTCAATTGGCCATGTAGTTGCCTTACAATTTTCTTGGCATAGATGAGTGAGTGCCACCAGTGCTGCATCAGTCTGTTGAAAGATTTCAATTTGTATTCTATCAATTCCTGGAGCCTTGTTCTTTGCAAGCGCCTTCAGTGCATGTTGCAGACCGTGTAGGCCTGGTCAGAAGTTTGAGGCCCTATAGGCCCAAGTGCTACAGGTCGCAGGCTCTGAGGAACAGATCTAGCCACTTGGCAGTTAATGGCAAATTGTTTTTCATCTTAGTGTTCATTATTTTTTTATTTATT